TTTGAATAAATCTCCCATCCATCACTCCTTCTGGTCGTTGGATATTATGATTCATGAAATATGGATATGTAAACTCACCTTCCTCTCCCCGGTTAAACCCAACTAATTCGACTTTTAGCTCCCAATTATGTATCTCATTTAGGCTTGAGAAGAACGTGAGGTAAAGATAATTCTCTTACTGTTCATCTGGAAAATTCACGTGATAAAAGATCTGCAATATAAGGGAAACCAAATTTTGATATAAACTTTTTTATGTGTAACACGTCATTTTAGGGCTAAACATAGTAACTTCTCCACAACAATATGACATATTAATATCAATGAGATGAAATCGTGATTTTGTAGAGGAAGGTCTTGGCTTCAAATACACGATTTATTTTGGGGTATTGCATTTCCATTTTTGGATAATTTGAAAATCTACACGACCAATAAAAAGTTGTGGGACTAAGTGACTTGCATCATACTACAATAATAAATTATCAAAGGGTAAATTTTTTCTTTCCAAAAAAAAAAAAGTAAACGACACAGTGACGATTTAAATTCTTTCTTTGCATATTATTATTTGATATTAATATTATTTATTATTAAACAAAAAATAAGAAATATTGTTTTTCCTAAGTGAAATAATTGATTTTATAATGAGTGGATTTGTATTTTTCTACCCAAAATCCCGAGCCGTTTTAAAGTTGTGCTTGACCATCTAAAGTTGGGGACTTTCCTAATAATGTTTTTTATTATGCATATATGGGATATTGTATCATAATATTTTTGTGTTAATGGGACACGAAAAAAAAATTTTTATATATAAACTAGGAAGTGTATTTATTACTTCAAGCCCATTTCAATCATTCTCTTATTCCTCGTGTACATAAAGCCAAGTCCATCAAGCTTCTCCCTAAGGTATGATGACGCAATTAAATTTTCAGGGGGCACATTGCATTGAGCTTTATTGGAAATTGCATCGTTGTCAAAGAGACTGTTAGAGCCTTCTGGAATACAATCACCAATGGAGAAATTTCCATGCGTTGTTGCACCTAACTATATACATGTTTTGAATGTTAATCGGATATATTCGTAATTGCATGCATACAATACACACGCATATGGGCACAAAGAAAAGGTGACTCGACCACCAAAATGTTTTCGCTATCACTTTGATGGAATGGTAATGGATAATTAATTATCTTACAGGCAAAGAGGTTAATATTAAAATCCAACAAAAATATTATGGGTTTATTTTTCAATTCTGCCAGATTTTCTCATCTTTATTGTATGTGGCTTTCCCAAAATTGGTTTCTTAAAAGTTCATTTCTCCATGGTCCTAGTATTATTATTATTATTATTACACAATTTATTTATCAACTCAAGAATAACAACATTAAATTTATTAATACATGATAAACATTGTAGTACGGAAGCCAAAGTATACATATACAACAATAAAGAGATAAGTCATGTTTTGTTTATTTTGATTAGAAAAATCCATAATAATTTAATAAAGTATATGTCGGAGCACTTGCATGAGAGGAAAATACTCGGATCTGTAAATTTGAAATCTATAATTAAAAATTTTGGGGGTGGTTAATATTAATATTAATATGTGATTGGCTGATACACAAAAAAGTTAAAAAAAATGGTAACTAAAAGGGATGCAATAGATTTTAACGAACATAACAGTGGTAATGACCGAAGTAATAATAATAATTCACGACAAATACACAAATTGCATCCGCTGGCATATATACAAGTTGAATAAATATTAAAAAGTAATTATGATAATTGATCTTTGATAATCTGTTAATTGAAATACAATTTTAATAATATGAATTAAACAGTCAATTAATTAATCAATTATATATTAATTTAATCAATTATTGTTTACTATTTATTTCGTAAATCTAACAAACAAACTAATTATTAATTCAAGTTATCAAGATCAAAAAAGAGCATACCTGTATTACTCTAAAAATAAATACTATTTTAAATTCTTTTTGCAGTTATAAAATAATTTACATGCAAATTTAAAGGTAATGATTTAACTAGTTCAAACCATTTTCCAGTTATAGGATTAAGACCTATTCCTGTCACATCAACAACTTTACCCCATATATTATTATGATTGTGGCTATTAGGATAAACATTATTGTCATTGCTATTATTATGGCTGACATTTTCAATCATATTTGTTAATTCATCATGTCTTATATATTTGTTAAAGTCATGAGTTTCGTTTGGCACTAATTTTAAAATATTTTGAGCCAATATTATTGTTAACAAATATGATAACGGTGTACGCGAAATTGTTGAAAGAAACAAGAATCCTCCTAAATCATCGTCATCATTAATTATCTTGGTGTTGTTGTTGTTGTTGTTGTTGTTGCAAACTTTTGGCTAAAAACATTAACAATTGTAAAAATTAATGAAGTTAAAACCAAATAAACAAATTAATGACATTTAATAATCATACTTTGATTAATCTAACACATGAATCAATGAATTGAATAGGATTATTAACATGTTCGATGATTTCCATTGCACATACAATATCAAACAATTCACCATTGTTAACTAATTCCTCTAATTAATAAAAATATATATATATGTGTACATATAAGTTATAACTAACATAATAATGACACAAGATGTTGATAAAAATACCTGCAGTTATACATTGATATTCTAAATTTCCTGGTCCAGAAAATAATTTAGGATCTTTGAGTGAGTGTAATTTTGCAATTTTAATATTTTCAGATGATGCATCTACGCCTAAAACTGATGCACCTAATCTTACCAAAGACTTTTGAAATAATTAAAAGAAAAAACTGTTTGTTTAGTCAAAATAATCCAATAAAATAAATTTTAATAAATAATAATAATAGTAATAAATTAACCTCGGATAAAAGTCCACCACCACATCCAACATCTAAGATACGTAAACCTTTAAACGGAAGATAATCATTACTATTATCATGGCTGATGTTGTAGTTAGTTAATTGTTTTTGTATGTATGATACTCGTAAAGGATTCATGCTATGAAGCAATTTAATTGGTCCATTATAAGACCACCATTCTTGCGCCATTTGACTAAATTTCGAAATTTCTGATTCATTTACGCTAGAAATATTTCTTTTAAAACTAACACAATATCAATTATAATACAAAAATAAATAAATATAAATATAGATTAATTAAAACTTTACTTGATTCTGTGACGAAAAGTTGTGTTTGTTTGCTCAATGAAGAATTTTGAAAAAAGAATTTTATTTGCATAATTCAAAATATTTATTTTTTTATGCATCTTTTTTTACAAGTCATACAAATTCGAATTTTCTTTTTTTAATAAATAAAAATGGTCGGTCAACTACACAAATTGTAAGTTTTTTTAATTTAAAAAATATTATTAGTAGTAACAACATAATATCAATATTACTACATTGGTGGCATTAGTAGTAATATTATATATATTAAAGTAGTAGTAGTAATAGTAGTATTATTATTAGTGGTAGTAATAAATTTTAAAACCAAATAAATAATATGAATTTTGGTAATGAAAAATCATTATCAGTACCATCGCCACAATTATCACCATCGTCATCGTCATCGTCAACGACAACGACAACGACGACACATCCAGATGATGATGATAAACTATTAACTAGATTTGCAGGATTTGCAGGAAATGTTAACAATATGTTGGGAGCAGTCAGTATTTTTCTTTTATTTTGATCTTTTGTGAATATCTTTATGAATATGTATTTATTTAGTGAAATGGCATTATTTATTTAATTTTAGGGAATATTTTCCACGCCAGGAATTGTTTGGCAAAAAGTATGCGTTTATAGTGTATACTTGATATATATACTTTTAAATATTTATTTAAATTTGAGAATTTTTTTTTAGGTTGGTTCGCCTGGCGCCGCGTTGATCTTATGGATATTAGGTGGATTTATAAGTATGTGCGGATCACTTACATATGTTGAGGTAAATAATAAAAAAAGATTAAAAAAGAAGCTATAATCCTAATTAAATATTGGAATATACCTAAAAAATTATTTTACTAATTAAATATATTTATTAAAAAGTTTGGGGTCATCACTTTAGAAAGTGGTGGTGAAGTGGCTTTTTTTAAAAAAGCATTCCCTAGACCCCAAAGGCTTATGAGTCATGTTTTCAGTTTTGTATGGGTTAGGTAAGTTTATAAAGAATTATGCATATAATAAATTAATTAATCAGATTTTATTTTATTAATAATTTATTACTATTATTGTTATTATTTAGTGCGATAAGGCCTACATCCCTAGCAGCAGTATTGCAAGCCTTTTCGCAATATTTTTTATTTACTATTTTACAACATCCTAATGAGAACGAAAAAATCGAAAATTTCGAAAAATATTGTAATGATGTAAGAGGATTTCAGAAAAAATTACATTCAAGTGACATCCAGAGTCTTGATTTTTGGATAATAAAAGCTATTGGTATAATAGCTTTGGGAATCATTACATTGTATCATATGCGTTCAAATATGTATGCAAATTTAATAAACCAAGTATTGGCCGTAATTAAAATCATCACTATATTTATCATAATAATAATTGGTCTTGTTGCACCCTTTGTAATTGACATAAATACCGCCAATTGGACAAACCTGTTCCAAGGTACCACTCCTACAACTCCAGACGTTGCTAGTGCTTTAATTTCAGTAAGTTATTCATATTCATCACTCATTAAATAATATAAATCTAAATTATCCTAATATGTAATTATGAATTTTTCACCATCTGAAGGCTTTCTTTGCATATGAGGGTTGGAATAATCTGAACTGTTGGTATCTTTAAATGATTGAAATATTAATTATATATTTAATTATATATTTAATTATATATATATTGTTTATAATTTATCTTGTATATATTTTTTTAATTAAATAGATTCTTTGGATGAATTCAAAAATCCAAGAAGAAATTTAAAGTACAGCAATAGTCTTAGTGTTCTTGTTGTAACTATATTATGTATGTTAAACTTAAAATATTAATGTTATTATCATTATATATATATATTTAATTAATAATCGATTTACTTTTTTATTTGCAGATACTCTTATTAATGCTGCCTTTATAACAGTTTTACAGCCAGATGAGGTAATTAAATTTGGGAAGGATCCTAACGAAGTGATAGCAGGGTTTTTTGGTAAACGGATATTCGGTGACATTTTTTCAAGAGTATTGACTTTACTTGTTTCTCTGTCGGCTTTTGGTGCAGCATCTTCTATGACATGGAGGTTAGAATAATAATGTTTCTTTTTTTAAAAAATATTAAAAACTAAATAGCTTATTTTATGTTTTTAGTGGTTCCCGTGTCATTGTGGCCTCTGCAAAAGACAATCTTTTACCTTTCTTCCCCGTTTATTTAGAACGATTACATCCTGATTATTTAACACCTTTTAATGCTCTTTTAGCGCAATTTATATGGAGTGTGATAGTTTTCATAGCTATTGGTGCATTCTCCACAGACTCATTTAAAGTGTTATCAGATTTTGACATATATCTTGTGTGGATTTTTTATTTCTGTGCTAGTGTTGGTTTGTTGGTAAATAAAAAACCATTTCTATATAAATTCTCTTCCTTTATTTAATATTATTTTGATGACAGCCAATCTAATATTTATTTATATTTAATAAATCAGTGGCTTAAATATAAACAACCAAATCTCCACCGATCATTTACGGTTTGGTGGGGACTAACAGTCATATTCATGCTTTCCGCAGTATTTATAATTATTGGAAATACAATGACGCCAGGTAAAACACAATATTCCGATGATACTGGTATATTAGGTTGCCAAGAAGATCCAGCAAACCCACCAGAATATATAAAGGTAATCTTAAGCATTGGATTTATAATTGCCGGTGCTATTTCTTGGTATTTTATGGATTATAGGAATCCTCTCCCAGACCAACCAATTCCAGAAACTCGTGCGGTTTCATTTTAGTAAAGTGTCATTACTATTACACACATTACACACGTTCGTTCAATTTCTTCACTTTGAAAAAGGGTTGTTTAAACCTTTTTTTTTTCTTTGACATTTAATTTATTTATTATTATGTAAAATAAAATAAAATCGAATTTAAAAAATATACTAGTCGTAACCAAGTTTCATACTGCCAGACAAATTTGTTTTTGTGATAAACTTTATTACTTTCGTCGTAATAACGAGTTATCAAAGCCTGTCAATCGCGAGAAGTGAATAAAAAAAATTACGCGTGTTTATTCTTGAATAATTAATTTAACAGTTCGTACAATCTGCAGTAGGCCTAAGGAGAGTGATTGCAATCCTGAAAAACAGGCATAGGAGGAAAACAAATCCTTTGTGATTTTTCTTGCTTTGCCAGAGTTTATACACCCCAGTTTTCATCCAAGAGTTGGGCTGGGTCCTTTCCCCGACTTTATGCGAGTATTGCAATTTTTAGCAGACTGCTTCTGGACTTTCAGACATGATCTGATTTAATATGGTCATTGAATATTTGGTTTGTAACTCAAAAATTAGAAAAATCAGACAAAAATAATGATCGAATGATTGATATTTACACCTTGTCCATCAATGAATGGTTATGACATTGAGGAAGATGGTGCAATTCGAAATCATATGGATGGGGGATGTAGTTTCGAAAAGAAAATCAAAAGAAGATACATGCTACAAATGTAGATGATACACAATGTATGATTTGGAAGAAAGCGAGGCGGATGTAGAAAAAGATCGCAATACTAGTGCTGAGATGCTGAAATACACCAAAAAGAAAAAGTATTTATCATTGAAAATGCCAATGAAGCTTTATTATCAGACGAAGTTCCATTACCATTGAGAAACACTAATGATAGAACTTCTGAGGTAAAGCTTGTTATAAATGTTTAATGAATACGTGTTTAAATAAACTCATTGTTTTATTAATAATGGGGAATTATTTCGTAAATACTAAAAACAAATACCAAAAGTACGTAAAATGCTAACGCAAGTTTAGCATAATATATCCATTTGCTAATTTTAGACCTGCATACTGGGGAGTATTGGATTTAAGTAAAGAGAGTATCAAGGACTTTAAAATAGAGATAAAGAAATATCTCTGGATTTTTCTAATATAATCAAGGGAGTAACAATGTCTTCACTCCAAGTTACACACAAAAATATTTTCAACAACGATTTGTGGCATTGATTTTGTTTGACCCCCAAAATTCAGTATGGTATGATCATAATAATAACATATGAATACTTTATACTAGCAAAAACCCATTGGTTTTGAGGCGGGCCATTGTTTTACGGGTTGTTGAATAGTAAAATAGTTTTTTTTAGCGGAACAAATAAAATTTTTTAGGGTTAATTATCATTCTACTGACCAGTTTACACATTAAAAATACTCGTGTTTAACATCGAGACACAATAAGATATAAGGTTTGAAAAAAGGATCCAAAAAACCAAATCTGCTGATATGGATACTTGGAACCGCACATTTAGATTATAATTGGATGATTGATTGTGATGTATTTCAAAATATTCATAGATTGTTATGGTTTCTGAATTTTCAATAGATTGACAAATGGCTCAACTAATTAAAGAACTATTCATATAAGCAATATCTAAATTCGTCAGAGGAATTCAAAAAGGTAAACAACTATATTAAATTAACATTGCAAGCTAATGATGTATGGCAAAACTTTTGACTTTAGTCGTTAACATAACTAAACTATTGACTAAAGGTGGTTTCTCACCAGGGCCATTTTGACTAAAGTAAAATCCCTTGACATAAGTAAAACCATTTGATGGAATCAAAAACACCTGACGTAAGTAGAAACGTTTGATATAAGCAGCAATAATGACAATGATAAAATAAAGTTATCAAAAGTTCCAAATTATGTAAAAATATGTGTCCCGGGGATGAATAAAGAATTATTTATATCATTGTATGTATATTGCAATGATGCAAGAAGAATAATTATCATTAGAAATTTCACTTAATTAGGCTACTTATTTTTTCCATGTATTTTCTTTCAAAATAAAATTGCCTCTTCTTTTTTACAAATTAAAACCATTCCTTTATTATTAATTGACTTTACATACATATGTGTTGTATTAAATTGATAATAATGTGTTTGAGCTGTCTTTGATGTCTGAGTTTGAAGCAACATAGGTTACCACATAAAACAGGTTTTTAGATATTTTTGAGAATGTTGAATTTCTTTTATTGATAAATCTATCACTAGAGTTTGGTTATGAAGGAGTTGTTCTTTAAATAATGCAATTTTCGTTTTTCAATTTACAACATTCCCTATCAATTAATCAAAAAAAATGTTGTACGAAAAATTTGTTTGTTACACGTTATTCAATCCGGAAAGAAAAGGGAAATAATGTAACCGTTGTTCTCAAATTTTATATAATGTCGTATGTTAAATTATTATTATCGTTATCAGAAAGACAAGAATTTGTATTTAAAATTCATAATGAAATGTACAATAATGCATTGGCTAATTCTGATAGAGAAAGTAGAAAAGACTATTTTTTTTCATTAGTCAACAAAAACAAGGAGCTTTCTGAAAATGAAAAAGAATATTGTAAGGAAAATTTTATTTATGAGTTTGAATTAAATAATGCAACATATAAAGGAGGCCAACCAAAAGAATGTAACAAGTGTAAATTGATAAGATACTCTGATAGGTTCTGTGAAGGTTGTATTAGTTTACAATTACAGAGTCTT